CTTGGGTACCTTAATAAAAATATCAAGCACTTTGGTACCCTTTTATATTATATCATTAGGATTAGCCCTTAGGAATCCAAATCCACTTGGAATTTGGTTTCCATTTGTTAACATAAGTGTAATTCTTTGAATTGCAAACTTCATAAATATAATGTTAGCACATAATACACACAACATATTATATTTGTTATCATCAAAACAAACTAATCTTGGGGTCAAGATTCCTAACAGATGTCATATGTCTGACTATATCCTTTTGCCACCAGACGAGCTTTGTAGCGCTCAACCTGTCCATCTGGATTCTGCTTCACAGCGAAGACCCACTTGTATCCAACTGCTCTCTTCCCTTTTGTTAGTTTTACTAACTCCCAAGTACGGTTCTTCTCTAGAGCTCCTAGCTCCTCGTGCATAGCCGCTTTCCACTTTGGATCCTTTTTAGCAACCTGCTAATTATTAGGTACAGTAACAGAGTCCAATGATGCAATGAATGCCCTATGTGCAGGGTGGATATTAGAATATGATACAAATTGGGCAAGATCCTAACCATATCTATCGGGAGGATTTCCCGCATTACTACGAGTAGTCCTCCGTACTGGTATTGGTGTGGGAGGAGTAGGGAGAGGAATGTTATCAGTAGGAATGTTATCACCTTGGGATAAAACTGGTGGTGGTGTAGGTGTTTCAGGAGTCGGGGTAGGCGTTGGTAAGAGACTTGGCAGCACTAGTGACACTGTAGGTTCTGTTCCTGTAATTTGCTTGCCCTTCCTACTATAAGTTAGTAGCTCCCCCTGAACAGTGGGCCTAACACCTCTTGTCTCATTTTTTTTCTTCGTCATTCTCTTGCTCCTCCTCAATCAATTCTCCCTCCCAAGGAATCGATACAGAAATGGATTTCTCCACATTGTTCACCGTTCTCTCACCATTCTCCTCCTCTCGCCTCATGCTTCTAGTATTGGGCGAGTTACCAGCGGATGAAGTTACCTTCTGGGTGTAATATGGCTCGAGTTCTCAAAAGTGCACATCCATGCTTACAAATAACCTTTTCTCCATCGGGCTCCAGCAAACATATCCCTTCTGAGTAGCAGAATATCCCACAAAAATGCACTTCACAGCTCTAGTGGCAAGCTTCCCGACAGATGGCCTGTTGTCCTTCACAAAGCACACACAGCCAAACACTTTGAGTGGAAGGATCCCACCATTATCTCCCTTCAATATCTCACACGGAGACTTCCAATCCAACACTCTCGAGGGCATTCTGTTGATCAATGCTGCTGCGGTCAATACTGCTTGCCCCCATAATGTTTCTGGGACATTCATAGAGATCATCATGCTTCTAGCAACCTCTAAAAGATGTATGTTCTTCCTTTCCGCTACCCAATTCTGAGCTGGTGTGTATGGACAGGTTATCTGGTGATGTATTCCTTGAGCTGACAAATATTCTTCAAAGGCTCTGTTGGTATACTCTGTCACATTATCTGACCTTAATACTTTCACCACTGTTCCGTATTGAGTCTGAACAGTCCTATGAAAATTTTGGAAACACCCAAACACATCACTCTTATTCTTCATCAAGTATAACCAAGTAACACGAGAGAAGCAATCAATAAATATAACAAAATACTTGTATCCATTCATAGAACTTGTGGAACAAGGCCCCCAAACATTTGAATGTACCAAGTCAAATGCATGAGAACTTCTATGATCAGAACTAACATAAGAGCTTCTAGTAAGCTTTCCAAACTCACATGCATCACACACAAGTTTCTGTTTATTTGCTTTTTCAAATAAAGAAGGATACAATCTACCTAAAACACTAAGGTACCGTTTGGCAAAGGGTTAAGTGAGGGGTTAAGGAGACTTAACCCCTTCTTAACCTACCAAACACAACAAATCCATATAAGGGTTAAAGTGAGTTAACCCTCCATAATTTGCCAAACATAAAAAATATAGCAGGGTTAAGTTAACCCCTTTAGAGGGGTTAAAATGAGTTAACCCCTCAAAATGAGGGGTTTACTAATACTCATATTTAGATAGAATAAGAGTTAACCCTTCTAATTATAAAGAAAATAGTCAAAATCATTGTTATTCCCAAACACTAAAACTGATCATAAGGGCTAAAATAAAACTTATTTAACGGGTTAATAATTTAGTCCTTCGGATTATCAAATGGGCTAAGTACATTAATCATTCTCTTTAACCCCTCTTCATTAACCCTTTGCCAAACGGGGCCTAAAGGATGAGTGTCCCAAACGCTGATGATGAAGCATTAACTCATTCTCAGCACTCATTTTATATCCTACTCCTGCTTCCTCTATGACTGACACTAATGCTGAATCCAGCCCTTCACGATCCAGATACCACAGTCCACTACGCCATGTGCCAGTCCCAAGTCTCCGCCTTGTTCCCTTCTCCCGAAAAATCACCTTGGGAATATCAAAAGAAACAATGCATTTTAGTTAGAGGATGATAGAACTAATGGACAAAAGATTGACTGGAAAGGAAGGAGCATGCAAAACATTGGACAAAGTTACAGAACCAGTACAATCGACTGTACCCTTACCAACCACCGGCTGAAATGTACCATTAGCTGTTTGAATACTATCAGGCGATGCTAAGTGAGTATATGATGAGAACTCACTAGCATTACCTGTCACATGACAAGACGCACCGGAGTCGACTATCCATGCTGATGATCTGTCAGGAGACATAGAAGCAAGAGCATGTATGTCATCAGTACCTTTGGTCGGATGAGCATAGGTAGCAGTGTTGCCTCTGACGAAGAACGAAGTAGATGCCTCCGCAGTCCCATTCCTCAAATCTCCATCCCCTGCTACTTGCTGTTTTTTCCTGAGTATCGTGAGGAGAGCACGATCCTCCTCTGTAAAGACCACCTCAGCTTCTTCTTCTTCTGCTACCGTCAGATTCGCCCGATTTCCTGCTCCTCTTCCACCTCGTCGACCCCCACGACTACGACTACGACCTCCGAACTGTCCACGTCCACCCGAATCTCCTTCCTTGGATGGCTTGGTGCAAACATACCTTAGATGACCCACCGCACCGCAGTTGTAACACTGTCGGGTCTCTCCCCTAGATCCAGTGTTGCTAGAGGCTGTCAGTGCTGACTTCACCACAGGAAGTCCACCTGTCCCCGCCTGCAGCCGAATGCGAGTCTCCTCCTGGATCATAGCAGAGACAGCCTCCTCAAGCGTGGGAATCTTCGGATGAGCTAAGAAACACCATAGTCCTCTCTTGTAGAAAGGCCTCCCGCTCTTTACATCCCGGGTCCTTGCAGCTAGCCCGAGGAGAAAAATGATCATAATCCAGCCACAGGCGCTCCAGCTCTGTAGCATATTCCTGTACAGTCCTCTCTCCCTGGACTGTGGCGTCGATCCTTCACATTCTCAATGCCATCCACCGTGGCGGCGATCGTCGGGACCAACGAGTCGAGAAGCCAGATGTATACCAACATATGAGTGGACTTCCACTCATCTCTTCCCTCCGAGTCCTCCTCCGGTTCTGTCGCCTCTCCTGTCAAGTAACCCTCCAGGTTCCTCCCTGTAAGGGTGTATCTCACCCGCCTCGACCAGCTCAGGTAAGTACTCGGTCCATCAAGCTTCAGATCGATGATCGGAAGCTCCAACTTCTTCGATGGTTTTGTCGCGCTCTCACCAGCCGACAACTTCATTAGCTTCATCAAAGTTAACACCTCCGCAGGGTTCAACTTCTTGATGATCTCCTCCATCGAATAGGCTTCAGACCCACCACCTGTTCACCTTCTCTTCCGACCCTTGTTGTGTTCAGTAAAAATTTCGGCAGCACCTCTGCTGCACAACAAGAGTAAGATCTCAAACAAATTCTTGTTTCTCAGAGGAAACAAGAACCAAAAACAGTTATATATCTCATCGCTGTGAGATATATACTCTTCCTGTCATCAGTTCGAGGACTGAGTCGAGGGAATCCATGCCAAACTCGAGGTTCGACAGGATGGCAAACAGGGGGGGGGGGTTGCGAGTGGCCCACGCGTTGGAAGGGGTCGGGGTTGTTTTAGGGTCGCGGTCAGAGTGGTTTTGGGGGTCTCGGGTCAAGGGGCTGTTTTGGGAGGTTCGGCTTTCGGGATCAGGCGGCTGTTTTGGGGGTTCGTTCGGGTCCAGGGGCTGTTATTGGAGGTTAGAGGTCAGGGGAGGTTTGAAGGGGTCAGGTGAGGGGCTGTTTTGGGATCGGGTCAGGTGTTTGGAGGGTGGTGAGGGGTTGGTGTGGGGGGTGGGGGGGTGGTCTGGTTGAGATCGGACAAGAGGGGGTCGGGGAGGGTCTGGTTGAGAAATGCGGACAGAGGAGGGTCGGGGAGGGTCTGGTTGAATCGACAGCAGGAGGGTCGGTCCTCTGGTTGAGATCGGAGCAGAGGGGAGATCGGGGTTAGGGGCGGCTAGCGATTTGATCGGAGCAGGAAAAGGGGGGTGGCGGCCGGGTGAGGGGTGAAGGTGGGGGGGGGGGCGGCGGCTAGGGTTTAGAGGAGGCTCTGATACCAAGTTGAAATATATGAAGAAACCCTAATTCATTCATTATGAGATCTCTTGGGCTTTATATAGGCCCCTACACAACTTACAAATAAGTCCCTAACTAATACTAATATGTCAACAAAAAGAACGGGAACTCAAAACACCATTTTGGTGTTTTGAGAAAAGCGTTTATTTGTGGGCTTTTTAATGGGTCATGTCAAAAAACACCCTAGTTGCCAAACGCATATCATTTTTAAAAAAAGCAGAAACGACAAAAACACCTCAGTTGCCAAACGCTCCCTAAGATATTCATACTCTTTGATAGAGGATGAAAAACCAAGGCTCTGAATCTTTTGTTACAAGTTCTAACTGTATTATAGGGCTGTTGTTTCTGATTAACATTTTTAACATTATAATTTTTTTCTTGCTATTAAAGTATTAAGCTTGTGCCTGGCCCTGCACTGATGATTCTTAGTGATTTCTTAACTGTCATCTGCCTTTCAGGGTTATTGCGACTGCAGTTACTTATTTTAGACGCGTATATACTAGGTATGATGGAAAATTTTCCTTTCTTTTTCTTTCTACTTTTTGGTTGTCTCTCTCTTTCCCCTTTTATTTGCTTGTGTTTAGTTTTCTTGTGCTTGATATGTGGGGGTTATGGACCGTTGTTGCTGTTAGCTTCTTGAATGCAGCATTTGATTGGCTTGTTGTTTTGGTCAACTCACTTTTATCCTAATAAGTATGGTATGTAAAGTTGGCAGTGTTTTTTAGCCCTTCTCAAATACAAGGGAAAACATCACCATCTTTGTTACATACATACATTACACTTATGTTAGAGGGTAAATTTTAGAAAACCCCCATGAATTTTTAGGAGTTCTTTTTTTTTGGGGTGGGGGGTGGGGTGGGGGGGGGGGGGGGGGAGAAAAAAAATTTTGAACTTTATAAATTAGAGAAAACCCCTAAATTTGTTTCACTAAAATATTATGATTGTGCTAGTTAGTTTAAGTTGTCATGTGCTTCCCATGTGACGTGCTTTGAGCAATTCTACCCTTAAATACTTTTTTCTTCAATTGGTAGAGTTTTGGTGTTAGAGTTGATATATATTAATAATGGTAGCTTAGACTTTGTACACGTCACAGTAATACCGTGTGTGCCAATTTCCAATAGTTCAGAGGGTTGTGTAGTTATGAAAGCTTGGAGTTTGTGTGTCTCTGTATGCG